CACGAAGTTGATAAGAGGACTGGAGCACCTCCCCTATGAGGACAGGCTGAGGAAGTTGGGGCTGTTCAGCCTGGAGAAGAGAAGACTGCTTGGAAACCTCATAGCAACTTTTCAATATCTGAAGGGGCCTACAAGGGAACCTACAAGGGACTCTTTATTAGGAGCTGCAGTGATAGGACCGGGGGTAACAGGTTGAAATTGAAGGAGGGGAAATTTAGGTTAGATATTAGAAAAAAGTTTTTTACTATGAGGGTGGTGAGACACTGTCACAGGTTGACCCAACTCTAGCAGTGTTCAAAGACAGGCTGGATGAGGCCTTGAGCATCCTGGTCTAGTGGGGAGGTGTCCCTGCCCATGGCAGGGAGGGTTGGGACTAGATGATCAGTAAGGTCCATTCCAGCCCCTAAAGTTCTGTGATTTTATGATTCTATAAGTCCCAGACCATGCAGTACAGCTCTTCTGACTGCTCACCTCAGCAAGGCTCCAATCAGGAGGAGCAATGTGCTTGGATCAGTCTGTGCTGGCAACCACAAGCCTCACCTCTTTTCAGAGGTGTTTTAAGGCACAGCCTCATCTCCAGTTGGCTACATGCTTGCCAAGTGTCATGCTGTATGTCGGAGCCAGGCTGGGGCTGTTTGTAAATTCAGATCTTGCCTTTCTTCACCCACAAGCTAAGCCTGTAGTTTGCATGACACCTTAGTGCCTTAACCTCTCTCTGGTGCTCTCACCCCTGTGCCAGTTACATCTGCTTGTCTAGAAGAATGGTATCCCAGTACACACCTGCACATGGTTGCAAGCAACATAGCTTCCCACTCCATCAAGCCAGATGCAGCCCTTCTTACATGGTCTGGCATAATCTGGCTCATGCAGCAGACAGGAGTCCTGTAAGATGTGTCTGGAAGTCCTTTGACCTCTTCCAACTGCAAGAGTTCTGTGCCCTGAACCCCTTCTAGTTCTCCCAAGGCAGTCACCATACACTTCCCCTCCTGCAGCTGGGTTTGAATAAGATGTCACCCTGTGCTGTGTCACTGGGGAAGCTATGGGATCTTTCTCTTTTGCAAATTCCTAAGATCTACATGCTTTGGAAATGCAGAGACCAGGCTGCAGTCCCAACTCTGTATTTGTGGGAAATCTCTATTAACTTATGTCTCTATTTTACTGTATCCTACTGCTGGTGAGACTGATAAGCTCTGTGTTAACTGAGAAACTCCTGTATTTTGATAGCTGGTGTAATAATCTTGTCTTCTTACCTGGCACAATGGCTGGCTGAATGGTAGTCACTGACTTCAGTGGGATGTGCAGGTGGCAGAAACCTCTAAAATCTGACCATTTATATACAAAAGGGTTTTGGGTAATTTGTAAGAATAGTCTTTGAGCAGCCTTCATATGTCATTCTTACGTTATTCCTCACCACATAGACTGTTTTCCTTTGGTTCTGCTGCAGTGCTGCCAAAATTCGAAGTAACAGTGAACATGCCCAAGATGATCAGCATTCTTGATGAGAAGCTGAAGGTGACAGTTTGTGGTCTGTGAGTGTCATTCTATCAAGTTCTCCTTGGTTTCAGTTTTTCCTTGTACTGCTGCTGAAAGTTTAGTTGAGAGACTGAGATATGAGACTTTATTATATTTCTTATTCATTTTGGAGTCTCAGGACCAGACTATATCTACTATAAGACAAAAGGCAGCAGTTACTGTTTGGTGCACTTTGCATGTAACATGTAGAAACATATTGTTCCTCTGTTTTCTAGGACTGTTTTACTTGCATATTTTCTGAGTCATAGAGGATTTCACACCAGCTACAGTGCTAGGGAAGAAGTCATCAGTTTAATTTACTTGGGAATGATGTTTTAACTGTGTCTTCTGTTTGTCACTTCTGGGAAGACTCCCTAAGTGATGCAATTGTCCTCTTTCCTTTGGGTCCCTTAATTCCATTCCACATAGCATTGTACCATGCACCCTGTAGGGAGAGCCATGGCTTGGGCTGAAGGATCAGCCAAAAGACCTAGTGCTCATACACACACAAACCAGTTCCATCAGAATTGGGTTGGGGGTTAGATACCTGCAGCAAGTTTTCCAAGATGAGGGGTACTCTCAACTAAATTAGCATTAAGGTAAATGAATTCTGAAGACTTATGTGTTATTCCCAGGTATGCAAACAGGACTGTAATATTCAGTCATTCTGTCCCTGTTGCCGAGCTTGATCCTACAATGCTACCCAATTTCGTTCTGCTTTTTATTTTGTGTAATGACCCTGTGTATCCTGTAGGCAGCTCTAGGGGAGAGTCCTGCAATCAGTGGGGTGCATCTGTAGGGTCTTTTTCATCCCTCTTACATTCCTAATGGCTCTGTTTTCCTTTCAATCTTCCTTACTGGTAGATACACATTTGGGAAGCCTGTTCCTGGCCTCGTGAACTTCCGTGTCTGCCGGAAGTTTGAAAATCCAGCTACTCTCTGCTATGGTGAAGAGGCTAAAGCAGTGTGTGAGGAGTTCTCTGGACAGGTGAGTCCTGATTATTATTATGGGTAGAGTGAAAGAAGAAAGTGGAGTTTATTGAGCATGCCTTGTAGGGCACAGTCTTGCTCTGAGTATGTACAAGGTTTATTGAGCATGCCTTATAGGCACAGTCTTGCTCTGAGTATGTACAAGTATAGTGTGAAGAGTGTGGTGAGGCAGTGACACAGGTTGCCCAGAGAAGTTGCCCCAACACTCGCCAGGTTGGATGGGGCTTTGAGCAACCTGGCCTAGTGGGAGGTGTCCCTGCCAATGGCAGAGGGTTTGGAACTAGATGACTTTTAAGGTCCCTTTCAACCCAACCCTTTCTGTGATTCTATGATTCTTTGAAAATCCATGTATTTTAAGAAAGAAGGAGAGAAGTTTGGGTGCAAGATGAAATAATAGGTAAAAATAGGGGGAAGGGCTGTACAGTAAGAATGATTTGAGTAAAGGCAAAAAGCTGGTGGAAAATAAAGAGGTGGGAGAAATAAAAAGGCCACATGGAATGTGGAGAGTATAAGAAACAAGTGAGGTAGAAAAGCCATGAGCAATGACAGCAGAGTTTGGTGTTGGCTTCCACTAGAGACAGTGTGTGGGATCAGAAGTTGATGTTAGAAGCAGGAGAGGAGCAGAAAGAACAGGAGGGCAGTGATGGATTTCGAGCAAGAAGGAAAGGAATATGGGTTTAGCAGCAGTGGCTAGGACAAACAGGAAAAGATAAAGATTTTTTTCACCTTTCAGACTGGAAAGTCTACAAAAGCAAAACTGAATGGTGTTTGGAGCACAGACAGGTGCAATAGTGCTAGCTTAATTGACAGAAGCTGGAGAAATAGCAGTTGTGAAAATATACCAGGACAAGAAAGCAAACAGAAGACATTGTTGTGATCCTTTGGCTCTGGTACACTGTGATGTCCACCAGTGCTGTTGTTATCCATGTTAAAAGAAAACATGAATACTGAGGTGCTAACCTCTGTTCCAGGCATCTCTTCTGTGGACACTTGCCTTGTATGTGAAGATACTGAAGTGAGGTGGCAAGCTTTGAAAATACTTTTCCAGTTGTCATCTGTTTTCTGCACATACAGTGGCTTTGGTTTATGTATTACTCATATGGCTTATGAATTTTAAATCACTGTCATCTGTTTTCTGCACATACAGAGGCTTTGGTTTATGTATCACTCATATGGCTTATGAATTTTAAATCAGCAGCTATATATTCTAATGTGCCTCACCCTGACAAACATTTCTTTGTAGCTTACGCTTGAGTAATTCCCTATGCTTTTGTACCAAGTGTTTGCAACTTTAAACTTCACAAACACACACACACAAATCTTCTAGGTTGCAAAGCTCTTTGCTCTGATGTTGCTGCCAGTACTTCAAAATGTTTTTTGCCAAGATATTTATGTCCTTTTCCAGTTTTGATAAAAACAACAGAGGGAGATTATCTGTGAGGTTTATGGGCTTCTCTTTCAGATCAGGGCAATGCACAGTGATGGATTCATTAAGCTGAATAAACATTATATAAATGAGAATATAATGGTCTTCTTTGTTTCCCTCCAACAGACAGACAACTATGGCTGTATTTCTGAAATGGTGAAGACCAAGTTATTCCACCTCAAAAGAGCTGGATATGAGAATAAGCTCCATGTAGAGGCTAAGATTAAAGAGGAGGATACAGGTATGAATCATCTGGATGAAACAGCTATGCAATAAGCCCAGGAGAGACCAACAGAGGGGCCTGCCAAGTGGGAATGAGGGAGAAAACCAGACTCTTGTTTTTCTGGAATCCTAAAGTTATCCTACCTGAAGTCCAGGAGCATCAACAAAATTGTTTGTCCAGTAAAGGAGGGTTGGCCTGGAGTAAAAGTAATTTTGATCAGACAGAGGCAAATTAGTTCTTCATGCTTCTTTCTGCAGGAGTGGAGGCGACTGGAACAAGCTTCTCTGAGATCACAAGCACCATTAGCAGAATCACCTTTGAGCATTCAGACTCCTACTACAAACGTGGAATCCCCTTCTTTGGGCAGGTAGGAAAACCATGAGAATGGAATGCCATGGGTGCCAAGCAATGATGCTACTGAACAGACTGGACAGATATAGGCCCTGCCTCTGCAAAGATGCTGCATCTCAGTGCTGCTAATCCCTGTGCATCTCCTTTCCTTTGCAGGCTCTCAAACAGCAGCTGAGAGCACAGCCTTCATTCTGCTTACCCCTCGGACCATGTGCTTCTGCTTTTCCAGCCCAGTAAAATTCTGCTTCTCCAGTCACCTGTTTTATAGGAGGCCTCAGGGGTGTGAATACATGTCATTCTCCAGGTCCACTGCTCTGATCAGGAGCTGGAGATAAGAAAGAGACAAAGAAAAAAGATTCAGAAAGTTTGCAGCTCTCTCTGAAAGAGCTAGATGTAAAGTGTTGTGGAGGATTCCCTGTCTGACATGGACACGGTGTCTTTAGCTTGGTGATCTACCAGTCCTTTCAGGTGGCACCCATTCCTCTGCTTCTAAACTGTGCTGGTTTTGCTCCTCCAGGTGAAACTAGTGGATGGGTCTGGTGCTCCAATCGCCAATGAAACTGTGAGAATTTCTTTACAAGGAGCACAGGAAAAAAACTACACAACAAATGAAAAGGGCGTGGCACAATTTGCAGTGTAAAGTGTTGTGGAGGATTCCTTGTCTGACATGGACACAGTGTCTTTAGCTTGGTGATCTACCAGTCCTTTCAGGTGGCACCCATTCCTCTGCTTCTAAACTGTGCTGGTTTTGCTCCTCCAGGTGAAACTAGTGGATGGGTCTGGTGCTCCAATCGCCAATGAAACTGTGAGAATTTCTTTACAAGGAGCACAGGAAAAAAACTACACAACAAATGAAAAGGGCGTGGCACAATTTGCATTAAACACTTCCATGTTGGACTTTGATGCTATTCGAATTAGGGTAAGTCCTCCAGATGAGGTGATGAAGTGACCCATAGGGCTGAAAGGAGTACTCTGAAGTTTCTCCTATATAGGCAAAAGAGTTAGATTATTGTTCCCTGCTGTTTGTGTCAACCTTGACATAAGTTTGGTGGAAACAGTCATACAACAGACTGGGTTGCCATATCACAATTGCATTTACTTTGTAAGTATTTGATTTCTGCTTGGCAATAGCAATATAGGGCTGGAAGGAACATCCAAAGAATGTAATAGTCCGTTCTGCTCCAAGAGGTCACCAGCCCTACCTAGACAAATCTTTTTCAGGGTTAGTCCGTTCTGCTCCAAGAGGTCACTGGCCCTACCTAGACAAATCTTTTTCAGGGATGGGCCTATCTACTATGATGGAGTGCTGCTAGTGCTTCGTTGTCTTTTCAATTAGATTATTTCCCAAGTATCTCATCTTAATATCTTTTGTGGTCAGTTAAGGCAATATGGATTTAGCATTTCAAGTTTCTAAGTAATCTTCTGATTTTTTCCTTTTTTTCCCTTATTTTTACTTCTATTGCTGTAAAAAGTGTATGAACCATTCACATAAATTTTCTCCCAGGTGTGGAATTTATCTGGGAAAAATATGTGCTGCTGAGCATCTTTTTGTTAGTGGAAAATGCAATATGTGTGTAATATGCACATTTCATAATATCTTATCCTGGATCAGAGCAGAATATTTATGTCTAGAATTGTATTTGCTCTTCTCCCCACAATTCTTTTGTCACAGATTAAAACCATTAAAAATTATCCAGAAGTTACTATTAGATGCTTAAAATTTTCGGATTTTTGCAGGGTAAAGAAAAGGCAAGAACAGCCAAGTAAAATGAGAAAGATAAGGAAAAAAGGCACATGAGGCACATTAAATGCTGAAGTAGCACCCTTCTAAACGTGAAATATCTTGGCCTTGCTCTCATTTTTAGGAGGACCTGGACTCTCTCAGCTCCTAAACTTCTATTCAATCTAGGTTTTGAATTCTTAGGTGGAGATTTTTTTCCTATGAGACACATTAAATGCTGAAGTAGCACCCTTCTAAACGTGAAATATCTTGGCCTTGCTCTCATTTTTAGGAGGACCTGGACTCTCTCAGCTCCTAAACTTCTATTCAATCTAGGTTTTGAATTCTTAGGTGGAGATTTTTTTCCTTTTCTTTAGCTTGATCTTGGCACTGGTAATATCTGAACTATACAGCACTGCCCCTTCTTTGGTGCCAGTAATAAGGAAAGAAATGAAAATTGGCTTCTTTTTTCATTAAACTACCATGATATTAGAGAGGGCAAGGTATTAGTGCAAAGAGCCCTTGAGGTGATACTGTTTGACACATACTCCAGCTACTCTGGGAGTGAGGTAATTCCCAATGATTTGCTAAGGATACCACCACTCTATCTTGCACTTTTCAAACTCATAGGGTTTTTTATTTTGTAGAATTCCTTGTTGCTTAAATATAAAAGAATACCAAACCTTTAATATTAGGCCATGAATTTTGTCTCCAGTTCAGCCACTTGTGTTTGAGATATCTGTGTATTTTCTCCTATTCCAGGCAATTCATAAAACACACCCCTACTGCTATGACCGTTCCTGGGTTAGTCCATATTACGGAGAAGGATATCTTCATCTAAAGCGCTTTTACTCTCCTAGTAATAGCTTCCTCAAAATTGAGCCCAAGTATGAGGCATTAAGATGTGGCTCCTCCACAGAACTCCGGGTCCATTATATCCTTACTCCAGAGGCCCTAGGAGAGCAGAAGAAATTAACCTTTTACTATCTGGTAAGCTTGCACCTGCCATACAGTGAGGTTGCCACTGGCAACTGTAGGGGGCTGGAAATGGAAATTGGTTTGTGGCAGCAGGCTTTAAACACTTTCTCATCATCCTTCATATGTTCTTTCCTGACCAAAAGGAGGGTCTGAGTTTGGAGTAAAAAAGTAAGGATGTCCCCATGCCCTCTGTGTGAGCACTGGGATTCTGCTGCAGGGAGGCAGAGAGCAGCTGAGCAGGGTGTGAGCAGCAGACATACAGCCCATGTGCTCTCCTCTCAGGCTGCCCCACTTTAAGGTTTGGCTTGTATGTAACCTCAATCACAGCAGGATTTATCCTCCCATTCAGGTGACGGCCAAGGGAAACATTAAGCAAGCAGGCACACACATTCTGGATTTGGACCAGGAAGATGGTGAGTTCCTCTGCCCAACCGAATTGCCACTGTTGTGGAAGGCTGGGCAGCTGTGGCAGACATGCACTCTGCTTCCATATTAATGCAGGGATCGACATCGCCATATACCCTAAGATCTGGGAAGAGTATGACCTTTCTTTTCTCTGCCTTTATTTAGGCTTTGCACAGATTTGGTCTAAACCCCTGTGCCAGCTGTCTTTCTTCTGACATTGCATTTCTGGGGCTCCAGAGTTCATAGGAGACACAGTCTGATGGTCTGTTTTTAGAAGCTGACTCAAAATTCAGCATAGTTATGCATGGGAAAACAGGCCTTATCAGCAGACAGTGAGACATGCATCTCTCTGAACACCAATTCATTCCACTTGTATGCATGGAGCTTCATAATGGCTACGATGAAGTTCAGTCTCGAGTCAAGCCGAAAACTTTGACTGTTCCAAGAGAAGGTTTTTCTGCACTTCAGCTTTTTGCTCTTGTTTTGTTTTCTAGCCAATGGTGTCTTTTTGCTACAGCTGCCTGTACAAGCTGATTTTGCTCCAGTGGCCCAAGTGCTTATCTACACCACTGCCCCCAGCAGTGAGGTGATCGCTGATTCAGCCAAGTTCTACATAGAATTATGTTTCAACAATAAGGTAAGTGTCCACTTCTTGAGGGAGAAGCCATCAGACTGCAGTGTGGTCAAGCTCACTGATTTAGATTTAGCCTGGCTAAGCTAATTTCTGTAGATTTGATAACACTGGACAAGCAACATATCATTATTCTAGGTAGCTTCACTGCTTACTGGTTTGTGCTAGCTTGGAGGATATCAAGTGTTAGAAAAAAAGTGCTAGCATGGGACTACAGTTTTAATCCCCACCCCTAGCAGCTAGTTGCAGCCACTGATCCCACTGATGGTCCAGGGTAAAATAAAAAAGGGGAGGTGCATGTCATGTCATACTGCAACACATGTATTTCACTCCTCTTCATCTAAACGCATTCTCTCAATGAGGTGTCTGCTTATGGAGTCACAGACCAAAATTAGAACATGCATAGCCCTAATCCAGTGGGCAAAGCTAATACTTGTCAGATCTTTCAGCTCCTGTACAGCTCATCCTGTCATTTTAATTTCTATTGTATGTAAATGGAGGTAAGCCTTGCCTAATCTGCTGAGCAATGCACAGTAGTGCTTCAATAGCAATGGTGAGACTGAAAGCGTGCAGAAAAAGAAAGCTGCTTTGTCAGGCAACATGTTAGCTCTGAGGATGCATTTTGGACTGCTGAGGAGAGAGAAGATTTATGCAGGTCAGCCATCTTATTACAAAATCATGTGAGTTGGTGATGACAATAACTTTTACTAGCAAGAATTGCCAGGGCAGAGGTTGTTAAGGGGTTGTTAGAGTTGTGAGTTAGGTTTTGGAGAAGGCACAGAAGTCTGGCAGGCCTCAACCAACAGGCCAGCACTTCAGAATCATTACCAGCCCCTAGATATTGCAATATTACTCCAGGTCACCACTGCTTCTCATGTTACCAAAGAATCTGCTAAGCAGGGTCTTTGCAAGCCTGTTTTCTCTCCACATACAGTATCTGAGTGCAGTACAGAGCCTGGTCCTGGTTCAAGACCATGCTGGCTTCCTGAACACAGCTACCCACTATGAGGGATTATTTCATCACATTCACAAAGACCATAAAACCCCAAACTGCCTTAAAATTTTTATGAGCAATGGTGATGCTTGAAATTGCCAAGAACTGTTAGTGTTGATTCCTCTAGCAAAGGAGAAAGGGAACAGTAGCACGGAGGGAGTGCAGGGGGAGGTGTGCATGCATATGGGGACTTTGTAATGTTAGAACTGATGCACGCAAATGCAGGGAAAAGTCCTGCAAGGGTAGGGCATCTGTGATGTAGCTTTTCCTGTGTTTACAGGTGGACTTAAGCTTCTCTCCTTCAGAAGGTTTGCCTTCCTCTGATGCTCACTTGCTGTTCAGAGCCTCCCCGAACTCTCTTTGTGCTGTCCGTGCTGTGGACAAGAGCATTCTCCTCCTGAAGCCAGAAGCTGACCTGTCACCCACCTCTGTAAGTTCTTAGTCTGTGGAACAAGTCGGAGTTTGATCAGAGCAAGTTCAGCCCAGTGCCAGAGTGGAAACAGGGAACAGTCCCCTCTTGTCAGAGCTGACACAGGAAAGATTCCTTGTGCTGTTTCTCATCTTCCTCCAGTGGGCAACAGTTGTTTCTTAGGGGTTTTCTGTGACTACAGGCATGATAATTAAAAAGCTCTTTCAAGGGTACTGTTTGTCTTGGCCAGAGCCAAATACTGTGTTGTGTTTGACCATAATTCTTCAATTATTCTGTCCATCCATGGATTAATTTTCATGGAGTAGCATCTGAGGCATCAAAGAGTTTATTCCCCTCTTGCCAAGCAAAAAAAGACAATCCCTGAGTAGGGACAATGTAGTACAGGTGGTTTGGCCAGTGCCAGTTTTTCATATTTGAGCCATAATAACCAGAGCAACATGAGGTCCGTAGCAAAAGAGGCAGGATCTCCAAATCTGGATCCCTTTTTTTGTTTCCCACATTTCCATTGCTCCCACCAGAGGGAGGACCATGACAATGTGGATGCATGTGCTGGTGTTGTGACTGTTATGGTGCAGCTTCCTCAGTTGTGTTTTGTAACAATGGACACTGCAAATACCAAACACAGCATTTACTCTTTTTCTACCAAGGTGTATAATTTGCTGCCAGTGAAGGAATTGCATGGCTATCACCATGGTCCAGACATGCTCTTGGATGAGCCCTTGGAGAACTGTATTTCCTTGAAGCCAATAGTTCTGAATGGGATCACCTATTCTCCAGTAGTGGAGGCGAATGAAGAGGACACTTACAGCATCCTAAAGGTATAGCTCTCCTGCCTGGTTAGGGGGTGGAATGGGAGTCTCAAAGTTCTCTTCTGGCAGGAAAATCTTTGAGGTTGACTTGAAGTAAGGTTCAGTGGGAGGTAAATAATCCCGTGCCATTACAGTTACCTTGAATAAGTTAATATGTCCTTAAGCTGCATTGTAGCCAGAGGCATTTCCTTCCAGAGACAGACTCTGTATCTATTTCCCAGCTCATTCTGATCCCTAGGCTGGAACTGGACTGGAATCTGTGCCCCAGAAACAGAGGGAATATATTCTTTTGTCTCTCTGAGCCACCCAGACCCTAAGTTGGGGGGATGGTCTCAAGGTCCAGTCTGCACAGAGTAACAGCTTCTCCATTTTGAGGCAGTAAAACACCAATGTCAGGTCTGCTGTGTAAACCTCAACAGGACTCAGTAACAAAAAAAGCCATGTTGGGTTTCTCTCCCATAGGAGATGGGTTTAAAGGTCTTCACAAATACCAAGGTGAGGAAGCCTCAGTATTGCCGCCCTCAGATTTCCATGCATCCAGGAGTCGCCTTAGCATCACATGGAGCCATGGCCGCAGTACCTATGTATGCAAAGAGGACAAGCGGTAAAGGAACTGGGTTTTATCACCACCTTTATTCTGAACAGGGATCCTGTTTGTATTTTGGGGTGAATACTTAAACAAGAGCTGAGATTGTGACTTGAACCCTTGGAAATATTACTGAATTGAGTTCACAGATTTCAGCTTCTGAATGGGTTTTGCTGGGTTGTGGAGGTCTACAGACAAGCTTTGGTAACTCCACATTAGAAGTCAGCAGAACCAGGCAGTTTTCAAAGGTTCTGATAGAGGACATTATTCTGCTGCTGATTTTTTTGTGTATTAGACTTCTTTTCCCAGATTATCACTTAAGTGGTCTCAAATACCATTTTCAGTCTGTTCTGATAGACTCAGCCAGTTTTATGTATAGTCAAAACCATGAAGTGGGTGACAAATTTTTCAGTGATGAGTTTGTAGCTGGAGCTTAGAATGATAAGATTTGTGTGGTAGAAGTCCAGTCTGAAATGGACTCATCCTATTTCTAAGGGCTATCTCAACTCTTACACTGTAGCTGTTTGGGCAACAGAATTGGTCATATCATCCTCCAGAATCTCATATTAAGGTAAACATATTGAAAATTATAAATTATTCTAGCTGTTTCAGATAGTTTTCCCTTGACATAAGAACATGTGGTACAGTTTGGTACAGCTTGGTACAGTTTGAAAACAATTTCGACTTCTGACACAAGTTGCTAAGATACAGAATAGATGTTTTCAAATTATTTTAAACTGAAATAGGCATAGTAAGAAACCTTAAATAACATAGGCAAATACAAGCAAGCCACCTGCCACTTTGGTCTGGAGCTGTGTGATACACATCTGAGAGCATCTTTCACTTCTGCCCTGAGACCTTCTCAGGCTCTGGAGGTGCCTGTTGCACAGATAGTATGGATACTTTTTAGCTACACAATTGTTATGCAAATGCAGAAATTAATTTAGCCAGACTAAAGACGACCAAAGCTAGAATTTCCTTAAGAACCTTTTGGATGTGTTTCTGTTTGTAAAAACCAAGCAAACCAAGTCCTTGTTTTCCAGTTGTTCAAAACAGAAGCAAACCAAAGGCTTAATTTTTACCAAACTTCATTCCAAACTCAGAATTTTACCAAATTGGGAATATTCTGTTTTCTGTGAATCTTTTTAAGTCAAAATATCTAAATTTATCCCTCCCAAATTTCAGCTGCTTGTTTTTAGTTTGAGCATCTTCACCCAGTTCTTGAGGAGGCTATAGCTTTGGCAAGGAGGTGGTTTTCTGAGTCACGACAACCCTACAAAAAACACTGCAACAGTGGGATGTTTCATTGCTAGCTGGCCTGATAGGATGGAGAAGAGTATCACATTAAGGCTGTACCTGAGAGGGAAAAGTCTGCTTGCACATAAGGTCCTATATAGCTTTTTGCTTTAAATCCTTTTTTTTTGTTTAACCTGGTAAAATGCTGCCCTGCAAATTTTGAGGTTCACTAGAGACCAGCACAAAATAATGAAAGACTAGCTCTTCTTGCTAATAAGATCTGACCCTGAAACTTTACTCCTGGTGGTACCACAACATGCATCTGCTTCTTATTGCTACATAGATTGAGACTCTCTCAGATGGAAGGATGATGCTGATACAGATTTTGCTTGTTTGGAATTAGTAGTAGTTCATTTCTTTTCCATCTCATCACATTCAGGCATTCAGTCAGGTTTGACACATTTTGACACGTTAAGCACAACTAGTGAGCCGATGGACACAGTCCGAAAGTATTTCCCAGAAACTTGGATTTGGACTTTACTACCTATAAAGTAAGTACATTGGGCTAGTTCCTTCCTTTTAAATAAAACTGGTTTTATAAGGTGGCAATGTGTTTGCCAAGCCTTTTCAATATCAGAAAGTCCTTCATTGTTTGCAGAGATCACTTGGCAATCCTCTGAGATGAAATGACTGTCAGCCATAGGTTTGGTCAAGGAGTGGACTGGAAGATGTGGAGTGGTCCTACAGTAACAAACACTGTACTCTATCATTCACAGCAATACTGGCCAAAAGGGGTACGGCTAGTAGTCAAAATGCCATAAAAATCATCTCTCTGTCCTTGCTCTCTGTGCTTCACCAGCTCTGAGGGAAATGCTGGCCTAGATGTGACCATTCCTGACACCATCACTGAGTGGAAAGCCAATGCATTCTGCACTTCAGCAGACACAGGCTTTGGCCTGTCCCCAACAGTGTCCTTCAGAGCCTTCCAGCCCTTCTTTGTTGAGCTCACCATGCCCTACTCTGTAGTGCGTGGTGAGTCCTTCACGCTGAAAGCCACCGTTTTCAACTACCTGAACAGCTGCATCAGGGTAAGGGACGTTTAAATCCTTCTCTGTTCCTGTACCTGTACACCTCTTGCCTTCACCTTGCCTTCTTACCTTATCTCTCAGTAGCTCTGGACCCTTTGTCCATGAAATTCTTATGTTATTTCTTGTATATACTCCAAATGCAGAACCCACTACTCCACTTCCCCACTCCTTTGATACTGAAGAAATAGCTATTGCTATGGCTTCCTAATCCCTGTCTCTCATGATCACCCTTCCCTGATTGCACCTCTCTCTATGACTGACAGGTCAGTGTGACTCTGGCTCAGTCTACTCATTATGTGGCTACTCTGGTGGAAAAGGAGGAAGAATCTCATTGTCTCTGTGAGAATGGGAGGAAAACTGTGGCTTGGCTGGTGACTCCCAAGTCTCTAGGTAAAGGTCTCAGGGTGCTGAAAACTGCAGGAAGGGTTTCTCTCAGCTGTTCTCCCTGTTCAGTATTGGGTGTTAAAGCAACACCATTTCCTGGAAAGCATGTCAGTTGAGTGTGTCTGATCTAAAGTTATTTGGGAGGCAAAGGCTGGTGGACATGATGTCTAAGGCTGTGTCTGGCACTACAAGCCATACCGTCAAACCTTACAGCCCTTGGACAGCATCACATGAAGCCAGAGGCATTGTTGGCCAGCAATCTCCCAGAGATTCGATGTCTGCCCCACGTTGTTAAGTTGTAGTAGCAGCTGTGGTGGGTGTATGGGTTAGCAGTGTGCTGAACTGGCTGGTCTCAGCACTGTGGTATTCTAGGTTCTGGAAAAGTGTCATCAAAATAGAGTCATATTTCAGTGTCAGTGCAGCTCATCTGCTCCAGGGTGACGTCTGGTATAGAGAGCTGTGTTCTTGTGGGAAAGAAGCAGTGCTCAGCTGTGACAGAAATCCCCATCCATGAGCCTACAAGTTGAAACTCTTGGAAGCAGCAATGAGTCCCATCACCTGGCTCAGCCTGGCAGGGCTGACTGTCCCCTGTTTCCTCCAGGGCATGTGGAGTTCTTGGTAAGCACTGAAGCCCTACAGAACCAGAAGCCCTGTGGGAATGCCATTGTGGAGACCCCTGCGAAAGGGCGGAAGGACACAGTCATCAGACAGCTACTGGTGGAGGTATGTGGGCTGTGGCAAGGGAGGACTGAAATTTCCCATAGGCTACAGCACACTTTCTGATGCAATTGGACAGGATGCTAGAAGAATCTCATTTAGGCTCCCTTTCTCATGGAAGGTTGGACCAGATGATCTTTGGAGATCCCTTCTAAGCTGGTCTTGTCTATGATTCTATGAGATCACTATGCAAGTGTGGCAATATGATGGTCTTACATCATCTTTATAATTTGACAGGGCTGCATAAAGAATGCAGCTTAATAATGCATTGTGTCTCCCAGTACACTAAACGTTCCCTATCTCCTACAGTAACAGGACTCCTACTTCAGTCTATCCTTGCCTTTAGCACCTACCTGTCACCTCCTATTTCAATACACCCTCTTTATAGCCTCTCTCCTTCTGATACGTCCCCAGTAGGCATGTGCCAGTTAGAACATGCTGCTTCTCAGCTAGTTGAGTGGCCAAAAACTGCCTCTTAAGCTGAGTGTGTTGCAGTTCTGGTTTGGTAATATAGTCTGGCACCAGGATGAAGGTAGGGGATTCACAGGCACCTATGTGAATTCGATGACTGTAGAGAAGTCCCCACAAAACTTCAGTTATGATAAAAGTCCATGAAAACATGTTAAAATTTTACAGTTCATTAACTTCCTGCGGCAAGAAGAGTCACTGATGTAATGTGGTACACAGGTAACTATTACGTGGAAGTATTGGATATCCTTTATAGGAAATGGCTAGTTTATTATACTGTGTGTGGTCATCTGGCAGGTAGATTCTATGTTCTTAGCTTGTCTCTGTATCATAAAACCCCCTAACATTTGCCTACTATGTTGTATGCTATCAGTAGCATCACCAGATACTACAATGTACAGCATCTTCCCTTTCTATTACTAACATGCACATTTTTTTCCTTAAAACATCTGCAGCATTATGATAAATAGCACTGCAGACATCCCTTCAGGACAACCCTCTTTAATGCTGCAGTCATTTTGTTACAAGGATGTTAAGTGTTTCCCACTGCATGCAGTAGTTGCAGGTCATCCATATGATAGTCCTGCAGTGTTCTCTTCTTTTCCTGTCCTCCACATACAACATCAGCCACTTAGTATCACATTTACTTTATTTGCTTAAATTATTATTTCAGAGCTCTGTATTTCAAGGAATGTTGTAACTGCTTCTCCTTCAGTTCCCTCACTTCTCTTTTCACCTATCCCTCTGTCCTTGTTAAGGCTTCCTGTCTGTCTGTATTCCTCTCTCACTGACTTCTCACCTCTCTTGTTTCCCTTCATCCCAACCAAGCCTGAAGGAATTGAGAAGGAAACAGCCCAGAACTCTGTGCTCTGTGGAAAAGGTAAAGCCCACTATTCCCACCCTCTCTATTTGTTCTTGTGTGATTTGATGGAGGGGATGTGCCTGGAGGAGGAAGATAGTGCTGCCTCTATCATATTCCAGGTAGGCTGCTATTTTTGGGTAATCAAATCATGCCCTATCAGTTGGGAGTTTGAGACATAAGACAGAAGAAAGTCTGTAAGAAAGGACCATCCTGCCTAAACATCAGGGTATGAGCAAGGACAGATTTAGCATGAATGTTTGCATCCCTGTGCTGACATTGGGGTTACAAGTGTTGCTTCCTGTTTTCTAGTGCACCCAGGAAAATGCTGTAAACACATCATCTACAGTGCTTAACACTGCCTTAAAGTGGTTTCATGCAGAGATTGCCTTATAACCAGGGGAAAATGAAGTGACTGAAGTCGGGGCATTTCTAATAGGAAGTGTTCCTGTTGTTTCACTGAGACCCCCTTCTTTTCCATTGGCCATTTCTTGAAACTGCACTGAAACTGTTTTGGGTCTTGTTTCTTTCTCAGGAGTGCCTGTGAAAGAGAAGTTTTCCCTGTTGCTACCTCCAAATGTGGTGCAAGACTCGGGCAGAGCATATTTCTCAGTGCTGGGTAAGTGAGCAGCCTGGCAGAAGAATCATGTGCTGTTTCTGCCCCTTTGAATTGGCCTCCTACCTCACAGCTTTTTCTCCTGGTTTCTAGCACAGCTCACTCTTGTCTTTAATCTCTTCTATCTTGAGCACTTTTCCTTCCAGTTTTTCTCTTCCTTTTCCCTTTCTGCATGCCCTTTTCCTCAGTGTTCTCTGCTAATGCCCTAACTTTCTCTCGTTTCTCTCTTTTCATCTTCTCCTCTGTTCTGTGTTTTGTTCCAGGATCTTTACCAATCCAGATGTTCTTTTATTCTTCTCTGGTATCTCATGGTTCTCTCATTCAGTTGCTTCCTCTCGTTCGGATAACCAGTCCTAAGTATTGTTAACATTCCTCTGGTATCTTCTCCTCCCCAGGTGACATCATGGGCACTGCCATGCAAAACCTCCATCAGCTGCTCCAGATGCCATTTGGCTGTGGGGAGCAGAACATGGTCCTATTTGCACCCAATATCTATGTCCTGGACTATCTGAACAAGACAGGGCAGCTGAGTGAGGAGGTCAAATCCAAGGCCATTGGATATTTAGTGAGTGGTAAGCTGGGGCATGGCTTTTGCTTCTGCTTTTGCTTTCTTCTAGATCCTGCCTGAAATGGTTCTGTCAGATGCTGGTCAGATGTGGAGAGAGCATCTCTCGTACACAGGTGGTCTCTGCTGTATCCCTGGAAAGATCCTTTGCTGCTTTTCCCTTTATTATTTTTCTGTTGCTTAAGCATTACGGTACCTGATCGTTTTATCCACTTTTCTCATTGGGTGGCAATGCAGTGCAGAGTTGTCAGGTGACCTGCTCCAGTGACTTGTTGATTGCCATTAATATGTCCTGCCTTCCTTCTGAAGAAAGGCAGGTGTTCCTTTTCCTCACACAGTACAAGTGATACATGGAGGTGGGGATGTACCTGTACTTCATATTGGCTAAGTTAAGACTGACCTACTCCTCCCATTTGCCTTTGCTGATAGAGCTAATCTTCTGTTTCCCTGAGCAGACTCTTTCTGGCATCTGAATCTTGCTCTAACTCTCACTGCAGGGTATCAGAGGCAGCTGAACTACAAGCACACAGATGGCTCTTACAGTACCTTTGGACCACGCTATGGCCAACTGGGGAATACCTGGTGAGATTTCAATGTCACCTATGCCTCCCCTATATGCTTCTTTTTCTCGCCCACACATTTATAATAAATACTGCCTGAGAGCAAACAGAAAATGCTGTTGTAGACCAGCAGGCTTGCCAGGGCTGGTGTGGTCCCTATGCTGCCTCTTTCTTAATGAAATAGGCTGCATCAAGCCAGTTATGTAGCTGAAGTACTTCCTCCCACCAGCAGCTCTGAGGGCCATGACAGACAAGAAGGAAATGGAGATACTTTGGGGAAGAAGGGAGCAGGGATTTAACACCCTCACTGAGGAAGGCTGAAGAGTTGCAGTGGCAGCTCTTCTAGACTAGCATCTGCTGAGAAGGCTGCTGGGAAAGGTGGTTCCATATGGAAACATATGTGGAGACACAAGTGGAAAGAATGATAATTCAAGAACAGAGCTGCATTTTTTTTCAATAGTGTTTGTATGTTACTAAACAAACACAGACTGGAGGATGTGTGTTGCCAGTGTGACTTGCTGAAAAGTTTTGAATTGCTCCAGCATATCATTGCCATGCATTTTCAACTTTAGGTAAGGGTAAGAATGGATGAATTAATCACCTTCGGTTTGCTTTGAGTTTTTGAAATGGTAATTGGCTCTTGACAGCATGTTGGCTTCTCACCACATGCCTGCTTCTGCTTCACAACTGCTTGCAACAACTCCTAACAAAAACTCATTTAACACGTTCTGTTTTACTTTAAAATTCTAGGGGAGTTCTGGGAAACCCATGAAGCATGGATTTCTAGTTTAACAGTTCTTCCAGCAGACCATAAGCAGAGACCACGAGCAGGGATTTAATTATCCTTTCCTGTAGTTCTGAGTACTACTGTTAGGCAGATGTTTAGCTAATTGGCATGCAATTCCCTACATTTTCCAAAAAGATTTTTTTTTTTTTTGGACACAGATCAACAGTCATTGCCTTTCAAATTGTAGGCTCAGCACAAAGAGATTACAGGGTTTTATGAATTGAGTGAAGGACAAAAATCAAGATAGAAAGCAATTTTCAGGTGAAGATATAATATACATGAGGTCTAACTAATAGGCCCACTCTTACCCAGGCCTTCTTGCCTGTCTCCAGACAGATGATCCGCATATGGACCCTGTCACTTGAGGTGACCAACAGGCCTGTTCAAGGTCCTTTCAGTATTGTTTTTCCCTTTCAGGCTCACAGCCTTTGTCCTCAAGTCCTTTGCCCAGGCCCGGCGTCACATCTTCATCGATGAGAGGCACATCCAAGATGCTCTGCTCTGGCTGGCATACAAACAGAAGGAAAACGGCTGTTTCCACAGTTCTGGGACACTCCTGAACAATGCTATGAAGGTAACATGTCTGGCTGGTTGCTTCTTTGTGAGGCTAGAACATGACCCTAAGTCAGATGGGTCCAGTTGAACTTCTTCAGCATATAGGCAGATGGGATATTCCCATATCAATGGCATACACCAGAGAGCCACACACCATTCTGTATGATCCCCAACATGCACTTATCGGTGGTATTGATACCTTCGCATCAACTGCAAGAGGAAGGAGGCAAGCTAAGAGTCTGTGCCCTCTGGAGTGGGAGAAAAGACTGAAGATAAGAAGCTGTGTGGGGTCAGCATATATCTTTGTGTTTCCCTGCAGGGTGGAGTGGACAACGAGTTGTCGCTGACAGCCTACATTACTATCGCATTGCTGGAGATTCCTCTGCCAGTAACGGTATGGGAGCGCAGCCTAACTTGACTCAGTCGTATTGTGTCAGACTATGACAACACAGTACTGACCAGAATTTGCTCTGACTTGGAAAAAGGACTTGGTTGTTGAGCTCTGTGATATAAGAATTATATGCTGTCAGTTTCATTATTTGAGGAGCACATTGTACTCTACTTGTTTCTAGAACCCATTTTAGCAGAACCTTCCAAAATGTTCAGTGGGATATTGTGCTGTTAGCAAGGTGAAAAAATAATTACTCCTCAGCCTTCTAATGATTGGTTATCCCTCCCCAGCATTCAGTGGTGCGTAATGCTCTGTTCTGCCTG